GTATTACTCTAGTAACTGATAAACTTTTATTCAAAACTAACTACTCAATTAAATGACATTATGTAACAAAAAAAACTTCAACTAGTGACATCTAGTGAGCGGAAGGTTATTAGCCGTCATTTTTAAGACGTTGAATTATGCATAGAGTATACTAAATGTGTACATATATTATCAGAGTACACTATGATCAATACCAAGTACCTAATACAAAGTGATTTTTTTATTCAACACCCTAAATGCATATCAGAACTGGCAAACGCATCGATGATCAGCCTTTTAAAAATATATGTTAAACTGTCTAAATATATTTTTATCAAAGTAATCATAAAATTTCAATCAATCGAATTTCTTTTTGATAACAAGAATTTACGAGCCCGACCACTAACCAAATGTATTAAATTGAAAATGGAATGATGGTGGGGTTTGATCCCAACTGCTGGCGCGGTTCCAGCAACCTGCTGCTTGAATGAATCAAAAATAAAAGCATACAATTTTAAAATCGTTCCGAAGTTCTACATAATATTATTATTTGCGACGTATATACCGACATTACAGGCATTTTTTGTTTCTAATGTTTTAGAAAAAGAAAACCGGGAAGAGAAAGTTTCGTTTGTGTTTGTTTGCTTCTATTTCAAAATAGAGCTCATAACAATAGACAGTTCAATCAATAGTTTTTTCGAGATACAATTTTAACAAGACGTAAATTGCGCTAATAATTGATTTAGCTATTTTCTCAGGAGGTTAATTTACATTAATTACTTCACGGTCCGAGACTTCGTAGCAAATTTTCGATTTGTTATAATAAATCTTTAACCTTATATCTGGACTTACTTTAAGGTATATAAAATAGTATTTCTGTTAACTACGACGCTTATTTGAAATATTATGTCTTACTTCTCTTACATAGCATAAAAGTCGCTTCCCACCGTCTGTACGCTTTGATCTTTTAAACTACGCAACGGATTTTGATCTTGATGAAATTTTGTGTGTGTGATTAGAGAATGGTTTAGATTCACAATTGGACCCGGTAGGTGGTGCTGTTTTCGAGATACAGAAACCAACCGTGCGAAGTCTTTATATACTTAAATAATTCTTCTGTACGCGTGTGTTGTCACTGAACAACTAGATCGATTTTGACGAAATTTTTTGTGTTTGTGATTGGATCGTTTTGCAATCACAATTGGATCAAAGAAGTTAAAAATAAATTAGCCGATAAAAGCGTAATAAAATGAGATGATGTGTCTTACCTAGTTTGAATCAAGCTTATTGGATTTCCGCAAAATAACGCCTGATTCGTTCGTTATGGGGTAGTGGATATTCTTAAACCGCCACTACACGGCATTTTTATTCACCGTTTTTTTTTTCTTTTTTTATGCTCCCACTATTATGTATACCATAGCTGCGATCTCAAAAAGTAACCATGATACTTCTGTTTTAAAATTTAATTGGTGTCAATTGAAAGCAGGCGATCATATTTAATGCATCACGTTCATAATGCGTTGTCTGGAAACATTTGTCTTAATAAATAATTGCAATGTGGTGTTGCAAGAAACGTTATAGCTGAATTACATTTAAAAAAAAACAACTTTTGGTACATTCTCTTAATGCGTTGGACGCAATCCAAATTTAAAAGTGGTTACCTAAAGAAAAAAAATGTAATTTTTAATAAATTATAACAGTGTAGTGTAAATGCGCAATTAAAACTGTTTAATGTTTTATATTTCATCGGGGAAGACCAGATAGAAACTTTTTAAGAGTTATTAAACAAGTACCGACATGTTTATGTTTTCTAAAATAAAATGTATATTATACCAAAGTTTTGGCGGGCACTTGACCGCAAGTTGATACCACTAGTAAGTATTTATCGTTCAAATACTGGTTGCAAATATATTATAATTTAACGTATAAAATTACAGTTTTGTGTATTGAATGGCCCTACGAAATGAGATGAATGATTTGAAAAAATCTTGATAAATCCCTCAATATTTTTGTCCGCTTTAGCCCCTTACCATAATAGCATAGGCACTGTCGTCATTGACACTGCTGGATTAAGCTTTTGTCACAATCTATCAACTACTTTAAAATATGAACGCATTAATATATATATATATATATATATATATATATATATATATATATATATATATATAAGGATACGAATAACTTCCATTTCGGAATAATCACCATTTGTTTTTTCAAAGCAGTAAGTTAATTTTAATTGCTTTTAAGCTTTTACTAATGATGACACGTGGTAGAGTCATGCTGAGGCTATATAAGTAGTATAGTTGTAGCACGAATGGCTCGGATCGACCGTGGAATGAACACGCTCTCACAGAATACCAGCGTAAAATAGCAGCTTAACGCTGCTGTGTTGAGTGAGTAACGTATGGTATTCTAATGAAATTTAAAAAAGGACAACGATTTTTATGAATACATATAATTTGTTAGAAAGTAAGTGCAATTACGTAAAAATTAGACAAGATACGATTAAATTGCAAGTTAACGCCATTCACTTGCTGTATCGTCGAGAAACGTGTTATGACAGTTGTTATTGACGTTTTACTCCAAGAGAATATAATCAATACGTATATTCACGTGGTAGAGCCATGTGCAGTTTACGTATCTAAAAGTCTAAAACGCTTCCGCAGTACAGTGGGAAAAATTTCTATAGTAGAGTTAACTTTTACGTGGTAGAGCCATGCTGCAGTTATATTAGTAGTATAGTTGTAGCACGAATGGGTCGGCTCGATCGGGGAAGGACCACGCTCTCACAGAAAACCAGCGTAAAATAGCAGCTTAACGCTGATGTGTTTCGTATGGTGAGTGAAGAGAACCGGAGACCCTTTTTACTGGCAAAGAGGCATTCCATCTTAGTCCTCACGGGTGACAACGCATCTGCATCTTGAGTCTTTATTGAGGATAGATGTAGATGTCTATGGGTCACAGTAACCACTTACCAGCAGGTGGACTGTATGCTCGTTTGTGTTTTTAAAAAACCTAAAGTAAAATGACGCAGGTAGATATCAGGGGACGTTTGGGCAATCCGTGTCAGTTTGAAGGGCGAAGCCACAAGGTCGTTCCCACTACGCCAGTTCGTAGCTAATATTAAGCCAATTGCGCAATCCATCCGGCTGTCAGAGCCGTGTGCTGCAACACCTCGAGTTTTTATTTTTAAACGCCTCTTTACGCCACGTACTACGTTTTTTATTTAGATCTAGCGTGCCGCCGTGATGATTTCTGAATCTCTTACCTGATCACAAACACACACAAAATATCATTGGAATCGGTCCAGCCAGTTTCGAGTTTTAGCGAGACTAACGGACAGCAATTGATTTATATGGATAGAGAAGATTACAACGATGATTTTTACGTATTTACTTAATAGTAAATTGTATTAATTACGAGTTTAAGTTATTTCAATTATATCTCCAACGTGGCAGTGGGCCGGCCATATAGCTCGAAGAACGGTAACCTACGGAAGGCCTATATTCAGCAATGGAACTGTGAAGGGTTGCAATGATGATGATGATGATGATATACACTTACTTCATATTTTTATTTCTGCATCACCGAAAGGTTGGCTGGTAGAAAATGCCTCAGGCATTAAATCCGCCTATACATCATATTGTACGAAGTTTTAAATAAATAAATAAATAAAGATCTCCAACTTACAAAAATACTATATTCGATAATAATGTTATATTATTGCTTTACGGTATACAATAGTTAATTTTTTTTATGACTGGGGCAACGTAGAGTACGTTCTCTTGAACCCTTCTACTAACTAATGATAGGAGGACTATTGGTTATTTTATTTTATAGAATAAGTCCGATGACAAGTGAATGCTGTAGCCCATAGATATCTACATCTATATTCGATCAAGAACCCAAATGCAGATGCGTTGCAACTCTTAAGGTCTAAAATGGAATACCTCGTTTCTACTAAAACGGGTCTCCGGTACTCTACACTCACCATACGAAACATAGCAGCATTAAGCTGCTATTTTACGCTGGTATTTTCTACCGACTTCAAAATCGAGATAGTAATCAATTCGATTATATGTATTTTTTTATGTGAACCGATTTCGATAATTCCTTTTTTATTTGAAAGCTGGTGCTTCTTATGTGGTCCCATATAAATTTGATCAAGGTCTGACTAATAGTTTTCGAGTTATTCTTAATAATTTATATTGAAGTCGGTTGTACAAAATTTTTAATTTTAAATTATGTGAGAGCATGGTCGTTCCCCAGTAGTTTACACGTTTAAGTACTGATTTTATTACATACCTTATTTATTTAACAGTGCACCACGTGGAGTACGTATGGCAACCCTAAGCAGTAGCTTAGGTAATATAGACCGTTATCTATATTTATAACTAATGATTCATATAGGCTTGCCTGGATAGAATCTATTAATGTGGTGTTATTGAGCTCTTGTTCGTAAAGTTTTATTACAATCGGTTCAGCCATTCCGAAGATCATCCCGGACAGACAGACACATTTTTTTAATAATTTCTTCATATTTTAATGGTTATAAATACAAATAAACCATGTGTTCAATATAAGGCAGTCATTTCGATATTACCGACAGCCATTTCAATGTTATTAATATTTAAGTACAAGAGAGACTTAGACTTTTTTACGTGGTAGACCCATGCTGCACCTGTAATAATAGTATAGTTGTAGCACGAATGGGTCGGCTCGACCGGGGAAGGATCACGCTCTCACAGAATACCAGCGTAAAATAGCAGCTTATGCTGCTGTGTTTCGTATGGTGAGTGTAGAGAACCGGAGACCATTTTAATTCGCAAACGAAGATAGATGTAGATGTCTATGGGCCACAGTATCCACTTACCATCAGGTGGACTGTGTGCCCGTTTGTCACCCTAATTCTATAAAAAAAGGTACTCGTAGGTCCATACAAAGATCCCTGACAAGTAACCTGATTACGATGAAGAGCTCAGTGAAATTTCAAGCTAATTTATGTTGTATTGTTGCAGGAGACAGTACACAGCAGCGGTGGTAAGGTGACCAGCAGCACCAAGGTCGAGGAGTTTGACCTCGAGCAGTGCTGGGACGAACGCGTTCTACGGAAACTTGTAAGTTCTTCCGCGTTCGACAAAGATCTTATAATTTTTTTGTGGAATAAGTGATAAACGAGCACACAGTCTACCTGATGGTGAGTAGATGCTGTGGCTCATAGACGTCTACATTTATCCTCGATTAAGAATCAAAACGCAGATGCGTTGTCATCTCTGAGGACTAAGATGGAATGCCTCGTTTCGTTAGTGTCCGGTTCTCTACACTCACCATACGAAACACAGCAGCTTTAAGCTCCTATTTAACCCCGGTTAAGCCCGCCCATTCCTGCTACAACCATAACATAGTTCCAGCGTGGCACGTTACAATATTAACGCTTTCGCTGTCCCGTGCACTACATATAGGGCACTGCTATTGTCTTACTATTGTGTCTGGAAACCGGACAGTGAAAGTGTTAAGTTACCAGCAAAATCGGGCTGTACAGTACGAATTTTCTTTTATACGTGGTAAAGCCACACTGCAGCTATATCATGGTTGTAGCACAAATGTGTCGGCTCGACCGGGAAAGGGCCACACTCACAGAATACCAGTATACAATAGCAGCTCAATGCTGCTGTGTTTCGTATTGTGAGTTTGGGGAACCGGAGACCCTTTTTCCTGAAAACGGGGCATTTAATCTTATTCCTCAGGGGTGACAACGAATCTGCATTTTGATGATGCACAGCCTCCACTTACCATGAGGTCGACTGTGTGCTCGTTTGTCATACATATTCTATATAAAAAATTGTGACAAAGATCTTTTAAGTCTTTCCCCGTTAGACTAGCTCGCACAGTTAAGCACTTAAATATTAAGTCACCAGCAAGCTTGAGCCGCACGGTATGGATTCACTTTTACTTTCTTTATGCCAGTCAACGGTGAAAACAGGCCTAATGTCGCAAGTCATCTACGGTGACCACAAGTTATACTTTTTGTTTTATTTATTTTGCTTTTTGTTTTTACTTTCTTATATAATTGAATATTATTAATTTTTCTTTTAGATATTCGTATCAAATATAATTTAGTTAAATCGGTTTTGTATATATCTGATTAGTTAATGATGATAGTAATAATAATGTCCTCCAGACCGATTTCGGTCACGGCGGTCTGTCTCATAGGAGACCAACCATCTGCGCAATACAGGCTTATAGTATCAAACTGTATGCGCAAGCACGGGTGCACTCTCTATTCCCTCACTCTCATAGTCTGATGGTACGGTAATCTGACACGACCGGAGAGAGATCAGGCGCAGGACCAACGGTTTGAACGCCTCACGGCGTGTAATTATCTCACTCTCTACATCCATCAGAGCGTAACACTGTAATGCATGCACTGTTATTTGGCGGCTGCAATATAGTTACCATACGAATAATTAAGTCAGTTACTAACCACAACGATGTATAAATCTATTACAAAACTCTTATCTGCAACTAGTTTTTTTTTTTTTTGTGTTTGTAAAAGTTCGTGGAAGATATCAATATCATTGTGATCATCCCCAACAGTGTAAATTGTTTTTCAGATTTATGAGACCATCCTAAAAGTAAAAGTTACAGCCTATATACGTCCCATTGTTGGTCACAGGCTTCCAGACAAGATGATCACGTCTAGGATGTTGGCGAACTTCACATTTCTTCGAAATATTTTTTTATTTGTCAGCGATGCAGGTTTCCTCGCGATGTTTCCTTAACCGCCAAGCACGTGCTAAATCAGCACTTAAAATTGCAATTAACAATTTCATTGGTGCCAGCGGTGATCGAACCCGGGTTGCTCGCGTACCGTGAAATTTACAGTGTGCGCTTAAGCCCCTGAGCTACCACGGCTTATCATAAATGTATTTATTAAATTCATTTGATTAAATATATAACATATTTAATAAAAAAGAATCATTAAAATCGGATCACTATTGACGAATATATCGCGTGACATACATATACAAACAAAAAAAAAACATTCGAATTTTAAACCTCTACCTTTTTTTGAATCAGCTAAAAAGGTAAGATGAGTGAAATGTCAGAAAAATTATTAAAATTTACTTAGTTTTAAAAAGTATTTTTAAGCGTTATCTCCAATTGACGCAATCACTTGTAGGCTATGCAAACTAATACTTGTTTCGTGCGGGATTCGAACCCGCGGCCCTGAGTACTGCAACTTGTTGCTAAGCCACAACGCCACGGAGTCTACTTTCTACTTCTACTTACACCACAGCGTACATATATCACATTTTGAAAACTACCCGAGAACACGACATATCAGAACTAGCGTCTGGTTTTAATATAACATATGTACCCGATTAAATATTCAATAAATCAATGTTGAGTCATAAATGCTGAATTATTAAGTGGCGAAACTTGCGAAGTCACTTATTGATTTCACGATGTCTGTCCGTCTGTCAGTCTGTCCGTCTGTCCCACGATTATCTCGAGAACGGTTCCGAATTTTCAAATTCTTTTTTCAGCAATCGATTACTGATCACCCAGGCATCTGAACCTCCTATTTTGAAACTGATTGCTCAACGGCAACCGTTAGAAACCGCTACAAAGCTGATTGCTTCGCCACTTTGCTTGCTAGGTTTATTATTAAATCAAAATGCAGATGCGTTTTCACCCTTGAAGACTTGAATGGAATGCCTGGTGTCAAGTAAAAAGGGGAGACCCTTTTTACTTCTAGGTTCTCTAAATATCGGTGTTTATACATTTTATTTATTTTATTAATTATTTCTACGGACTTCTAAATATTATCTCATATGTGAATATCCTAAAATAACATCATACTATGATTTCAAATGCAAATCAACGATCATTTAAATTGAAACTATTCATAGCATGTAATAGTTAACAGTACAGGTGTGCTCAACCGTCGGTAAATAGAGAGTGCAATTTAGGCCATAATCAGTCTGTCGTTCCGCCTTCCGCTTTCTGACCACTTCCGGTGCGGGGAGGCTTCCATTTGTGCCAAAGCAATGAAAACATTTTACCGCTTTTATTATAGATGTCGATAAAGTTTATCGATAAATCATAAAATTTATCTTTAATCAGTTACAAATAAAACATAATATAACATAAACACTCCCGCCTGTCACCCAGAGGGGTAGACAGAGAACAGAGACTACAGGCTTCCAGTTATAAATATAAAATAATAAATTTTCGATCAACAATTTTAATTCGAAAAACACAGATCGCAATGTAAATAAGAAGTTTTCTTGGGGCTGTGTTCATTTTATATTTAATTAGTACTTATATGCTTCAGTTATCAGGTTAAACAAACTGAACGTATCAAATAGGAAGAATAACAAATTACAATATACCTACAGTGTTTTAAGTATTATAATATAAAGAAAACTAGCTCAGCCGCACTTCTTGCACGATAAGATCGACAGATAGCACGACATGACATCTAGCATCTGAAACATCCCGCACGGAACAAGTATTTGCATGGCCTACAAATAATTATTCCGGGTCTGGATGTTTGTCTTTGTGCAATTTATGTTTGTAAACTGCCTCCACGACACAGGAGAAAATCCTAGTGTGGGGGTGACGTTTTTTTTTTAATAAAAAAAATAATATAGTAAAAACAAAGAACTGTTTTATTTATTCATTTGGAACGCCAATAATGTAACACGTTACTCATTTATAATATTATTAAAGTAAAGGAAAGCTTAAATCTAACATACATGTTCATTACAGTTGAACACTGATCACACACATTTACCGAATAACAACAAAATTGCTAATTATTATTAGCAATTTTGTTCATACAAACAAAAATTGAAAGAACGTTCATAATGGATGTTATAGTTGCTAGAAACAATTTATGTGAAGGTCATAATTTGGTACAATTTGCGTTTGAAATTGTGCAGTGAGTAATTAGAGATATCTATTTCAGTTATTATTTTTACCAGTAATCGCGACTTTGATCACCTGTTAGATCCTGTTATATCAGCTACCAGAACTAAGAAGATATATTAAATATCAGCCATGCTATATGATATATGGCACAGTTACTTTGACTTAAAATGATAGAAACAGCACGGTACTTAACTGCATCTTGAAATTGAGTAAAGTTTGAGTATTAGGCCAATGGTCTATTTAACATTGTATATACAACAAACGCCTGAACCAAACAATATAAGGGACAATTTTGCTATTTATTAACGTGATTACAAAAAAACCTTTTAAAAACATCGACTACCTTAGTATTAACGCTAACACGTCACTATGTCCGGATCAATTGAGTGGTCGTTGTCGTTGTAACAACTGAGTATTGACGGTATTGACGACCATTGTGACGGACGCGCCGGCGCATGCGAAACGTTAAAGTGAACACGAAAATTAGCAAATTGTTTCGCATAGCTTACAATAACCATGTTAGGCGCTTTCAAAGTGAGTTAAATTGATTATTTGGACTTTGAAGTTTTAGCTGAAGAGTTTGTTTTGATGATGTTTTGTGTTATACGATTATAAAATTATTTTTCAAAGCATTCATGGTGTTAATGACACCATGATTAATTACGTTTTAATCTAAATGAAAAAATAATTTCGATGTGGGTCTGATTTGTAAAGGATTTTGTTTTAATCGCTTCAGTTGTGATGTACAAAACAACTCTCCAAAAATCAAATATAATACATAATATTTACTTATAATTTAATTAAGAAGGAAAAAATTTATATCTGGTTCTTCCTTAAAAACCTAAAATGTAATTAGAGGCCTCTTCTCAGTCTGTTGTGTCCAATTGATTTTTTTTTATAGAATAAGGTTGACAAACGGGCACACAATCCACGTGATCGTAAGTGGAGCAGTAGCCCGTAGATATCTACATCTATCCTCGGTTAAGAATCAAAATGCAAATGCGTTGTCACTCCTGAGGGTTAAGATGGAATGCCTCGTTTCCGATTAAAATGATCTCCGGTTGTCTACACTCAGTCTACGAAGAGCAGCGTCATTAAGCTTCTATTTTACGCTGGTATTCTGTGAGAGCGCGGCCATTCCTGGTCTAGTCATTTGTGTTACAACGATAATGTAACTACAACATGGCTCTATCATATGAAATTGTGAATGTATAGGCTGTTATTTTTCTTGAAATTATATTTTTTACTAGCTGTTCCCGGCGATTTCGCCCACGTGTAATTTAGGGTTTTAATTATGTTGCGCGGAACCCTAATTCTTTTTCTAAAATATAAGTAACCTAAGTTACTCCTTATAAGATCAGCTATCTGCCAGTGAAAGTCAGACAGACTGACAGACAGACAAAAATTTCAAAAATAGTGTTTTTGTTATAAGTACCGTATATACTTTCATATGCATTTAATAAAAAGCTGGTATTTTAACATTACAAACAGACACTTCAATTTTATTTATTTGTATAGATATAGATTTATACATGGAGGATATTATATTTTGTTACAGCTGGAAGAGTGCAGCGACTACGAACAGCGACGTCGCTTACGTGCGCGCATTCGCACACTCATGGCGGAGCAAGAAGGTTGGTGTGAAGTCATTTATCTAATTAGTTCTGGAGCCGTTTTTTTCTTGTAAATATACATAAGACGTGCCATCGTTTTGAATTATTTAGCCAACCACTTGTAAAAAAGGGAGACTGTTGTTGTTTGCTTATAAAGACAGAAACTGTTGCTTTGAAAATACAGATATTTTGCAGATGAAATGATGATGTTTTGCTGGTCAATTTTGACCATGGCAACAATTTAAAAGTACCTTTTGAATTTAAGAATTAAACGGTAGATAGTTGTGACATAATTAACGATATCACATAACAGAAATTGTATGCCTGCCATCGAAGGGGTAAGCAGAGACTACGGATTTCAATTTTGCACAATCCTGATACACCTATATCGTACACTCATAACGTATCCATATATGTACGTACACGTGCTCTGCTCTCTTCACCCTGCATGCAATTAATGTAATACTCTTTGAATAAGATCAGTAGTGAACAATTTGTGTTTTTGTAAAAATGTGAGAAAAATCTGGAATCCGCAATTTATATTAATTTAATAATCACTGTTGTCAGCCAGGAACAACTCAATTTTTTTTATATATAGGATGGAATGACAAACGAGTACGAGAACACAGTCCATCTGATGGTAAGTGGTTGCTGTGACCCATAGACATCTACATCTATCCTCAATAAAGAATCAAAATGCAGATGCATTGTCACCCGTGAGGACTAAGATGGAATGCCTCTTTTCCAGTAAAAGGGATCTCCGGTTCTCTACACTCACCATACGAAACACAGCAGCGTTAAGCTGCTATTTGACGCTGGTATTCTGTAAGAGCGTGGTCCTTCCTTGCCAAGCTTGGCAGGCGCATCGGCATTCGCAGTTTTTTTTATATTTTAAACTGTCAGGTATCAGGAAGACGCTGCTGACCATCTTCTGTCCCTATGTCACCTCTTACGACATTTACGGACAATATTCTACTAACACCACCATTAATATATGTAGGTAGTTTTATTCAATGCAAATTGTAAACGGGTAAGTATGGGTTGCAGCGTGCACGAGTGCGGTGACGGAGGCGCTCGCGGCGGCGGGCGAGGACGGCGAGTCGCGCGGTGAGTCTCTACTTTTGCCCCTGCTGCACGGGCTGCTGGGCGCGGCGCGGGTCGGGGAGCGCGATGGCGAGAGGAGCGGGGAGCGTGGCGGGGAGCGTGGCGTGGAGCGGAGTGGGCTGGCGGGCGCGGGCGCCGCCGTGCTAGCGGACGTGCGGCGCGCGCTCGCCCGCCTACGCGCCGCTCTCGCTCCGCCCGCTAACCACCCTCAAGCGCAGGCGTTGCTCAGCCTCGCCGACCGCCTGGAGGACGCCCTGGACGCCGCCGACCGCCTGGATGGATGTCCTCGCACTCGTCGCCGAAGACGCGCCTCGCGGCATACTGTCGCCGTCACGCACCAAGACCTGGAGGAGGCGCGCAGACTTATTTCTGACTCCCCCCCCGTCCAGAAGCCAGAACCCTCCGGCGAGGACAAGGCATCCCACGCACACACCCCCGTCGAGGCTCCACAAATGAGGCGCGAAGTGCACGTGGAGAGACGCGCGCCGGCCCCACGTCGCCCAGACTTCTTCCGGCACTCGGTCGCGGACACCGTGCAGCCGGACACCATTCCGCGCTGGCCCGAATCGAAAAGCGGCATCGCGGCGATCGCCAATAAGTTCAATTCCAACTTCGAGAAATGCCCTCCCCCTCCGGTGAGGCGGGCGCCGGTGAGTCGCCCGCCCCCCGCGAGTCAGCGGTCCATGGAAGAGACGCGACGTGCCCCGCTCTACCGTCCCCCACCCCCTACATACAATTTCGCAGCCCCCCCATCCGCTGACGACTTATCCAAGCCCTTGAACAGATTCAACAGCAGCAAACGCGCCCGTATGAAACGAGCAAACACTATAGACATAGGTAAGCCGCTGGGCGGCTATCACATCGACGTCGAGAACGAAGACGCTCACCGTGCGCCGGCTGTACCGGAGTTTCGTCCGAAGACAGAGAACGATCGCAAGTTTCTCGCTTTCATGCAAAAAAATCAGGAGAACGAGCGCGCCTCGATTGCCGGGCCGGCGAATTGGAGCAGTCGGTTCGGTAACATAAAGAACGCATTCGAGAACCGGGAGCGGGAGCAACAGAATACAAGATCAGCAAGTGCATCCTCATCCTCTGCTAAACGTTTTTGGCAAGCGGGCGACGAGCATACACAAAGGCCACGTAAATTCCTTTCCGACATTACGACAGACATTAATAGACCTCCTTGGGTATCGCAACGCAGGGAACCTAATCGAGCGCCCGCTGCACCTCCTGTACTACCCCCCAGTCACTCTTCCCCACTGCAAGCACCTATTCAATATACAGCAGAAAAACCTTACATTGCAAAACCTATTCCAGTTAATCAATTTTCCCACGCCCCAATGTCGCCATTTAAACCTCCTAAGAAAATTACGTCGCCTATTTCCGCGCCTCCAAACGTGTGGAGTCCTCCCTCGTCGAATATTATTAGGTCCCCGACGGCGGAAAATCCGCCCGAAAGCGCATTTATGCCTAAATCGTTTGTCCCTAGTCCCCCGGCCCCTAGAGTGCCCTGGGCATCTGATAACGAGAAGCCGAGAAAATCGGTTGGTCACGTCGCTTCTAAATATGAAAGCGAAAAGTTCATATCGCAAACCGCTCCACCCCCAAAACTTTACAGTTACCATCCACCAACACCTCCGACCCGCGGCACATCTCCCCAAATTCAAGGTTACCCCATCAAAGCGATTCCCAGTCAGAACGATTTAGCCGCGCCGGAGCTCGTGAAAAAAATTCACGAAACGAATCCGCATCGCAGCCCGGAGCCTTTTCCTGTACCTATAGACGCTCAAAAGCTTCAAATAGAGTTTTACGAGCGGCAAATACGCGAAAAAAGTCGCCGCGGATCGATGACGAATAGCGACCGGAAACCTCCCGCAGCCCCCGCTCCTCTCCCCACTTACACAGTAGTTGACTACACTCCTCCCAATGCGACGGCCTCGTTCGTCCCCCTGCAGCAGACGCCCGACATAGAGAAGGCGAAAGCGCACAAGGTGGACTACTTACCCGACGTTGTGATGAACGAACGCGCAGGCGAGTGCCCGATGACAAACGGAGATGTGGAGGACGCCACGGAGCACGACAGCGTGGAGACGAAGGTGATGAGAGGACCCGTGCGAGGCGCCGCCACCATCACAACTGGCGTGCGCACGCGCAACGGTGCCGCTGACAACCTCAGCAGTGCGCTCCAGCGCCTCGCCTCCCCCAAACACGACATCTTCCCTCAGATGGATAGACATGCTCAGAAAACTCAGAGAGCGGCCATCTCGCCGGGCGGCTCCAGCGACGGAAGCTCGAACGCGCGCTCGCCTGCATCTCCCGCATCTCCGCGCAAGCTCGCCGTTCGCACCAAGTCCATGCACCTGCTGGCCGCGCCCAAGCTGTATGAGGGTGGCATCACTCGCGAACAGCTGCCGGAGAAGAAGCGCACGGTGGAGGCATACTTTTCTGGGCGGGCGGGGACTGGAAGGGCGGGGGCAGGCGGCTACGCGCTGGGCCGCAGCCGCACCGTGGCCACGCTGTCCGAGCTGCAGCTGCTGGACGAGAGCAACGCGGACGACGCTTTCGAAGACCTGGTGTCGGCGCTCGCGTAGCCAACCGAGACATTCCACTAGTTAGGAGCGGAACGAGACGCGTGTGAGTCGTGTGTGTGTGTGTGTGTGGCGCCTGCTTGTGTCGCGTCGCATGTCCCCGCCCCTCGCCCCTGCCCCCGCCTCGTTGTACATACATGCATACTCGTAACCTCCGATCTCATTTCACCGTACCCTATAACCGTGTTATTTTGACTAATAGCTTTAAGATAATTAATAGAATCAGGCGTTACTTTGCGTATATATTAAAGGTATCAAAAATCAACTAACTAATATCCTCGTAATGAAATAGAATGATGTGTCTTACCAAGCTTAAAGAGCACCTCCCGCCCTTACTCTATTGCGTGCACTATCCCCAACAACCCTAATCCCATCACCACAACACCCAACACCACGTCACTAGGAATGACCTTAGGATGCCTTGTGTAGAGGCAAAACACGTGTCGTACTATCGACGGTGGTATGTCTTTCCTAGTTGAGTGGTATTGAGAGTAATGGTGATGGGATTAGTGGTGACAGGAATAGTGTACGCAATTGAGGGAGGGCGGGAGGAACTCCTCGAACTAGGTAAGACACATCATTTTATTTTATTCCGTGGATCTTAGCAGGTTGAATTTTGTCGTCTTTAAAATAATAGCTTATTTCGTCCTGTTTTGCTATTGTTTTTTGGAATGTACCCAGTTCGCGTACCGTGAGAAACACGACCGAATTATAAAACGTTTTTTTGTTTTGGTTGCAGAAGAAGAGGAGATAACGACGATGACATCCAGCGTGAGGAGAAACTCCACCGAAAAATCCGTTAGCACCAGTACCACCATCAAAAATTCCACAGGTCTGTCTTTTTTAATGCACTTCTCTAATTTTAACAAGTCCATAAAAATCCATAGAATAACTGTTTAATATCCAGCTCGAGAGACCAAGATGTGTTTAATGATTCATCAGGATTTTTAGTTTAGTGCTGGACATTAGTCTTTTCAACAAGTGTACGTTTCCTTCAACCATACCAATAATTAACAACGCTGGACAGACTTCATACACAACGAAAATGTTTTATAAGTACTCAAGCATTAAAAAAATCTTTACAGTGATAGAAAGCATTACGCGGCCGGCGCCTAAACCCGTTTCGCCATTCGCGAAATTCCGTCAGCTTGAAAAACAAAACACAATCAACTCTCCCAAGTAAGTATTACACAAACGTCACGTGGATTCATGTACACAAATTACAACAGGTTATAGTAACAGATTAAAATTAAATGCAATAGGTTACTATAAAAACAATTATTCAGTTAAATATTTTATATTTTATACAGTATAATCTGAATATCTATACTATATCAGGTTAATCGTTTCTCGCTTAATATGTTATTTAATGCAACGTATGTATTTATTTTTGGCAGCTGTAACTGTGGATACGAATAAGGACAACAAGTAAATATTTATATTATGACATTTATATAACATATATTAGTCGCTTCATTATAAAAAATATAGAAGCACTGAAGTCGCTTACATTAAGTACTTACACGGCGGCCGAATTAATGAATAAGAAAAAAAAATAGTTTTTCCGCTGTATAAGTTCTTAAGACCATTCAACATTTTACGACTGTGACTCGTCCATAATGCAATAAGACCTCGACTAAATAAACTCGCTTAGCATTTAGTTGAATTTCATCGATTTTAGCACGACATTAATTTTTGTAAATAACCCGCGTACTCGTCCATCGCCCATAACTAGCACAGCGCGTGAATAAGCACACGGATGTGATAGCGCACGTACTAATAGGCCAACATGCACTAGCGATTTTAACGAGTTTGAAATTTTGTGTTTATGTGATCTCAAACACTTCCGTTTACAGCAAAAAATAAAATTTTCATTATAATTTGGCCGATAGATAACTCTCCCACTCGGGATAACAATTTCTGTTAAGTTTGATTTAGCGATTTCAAAGCTTTCATAATTAAATTAAATTAATCTAGTGTACTCGACATTTAAAAAAATTAAAATAAAACTCATTAGTATTAATAGTTTTTTGAGTATTGACCTTTAGCCTACTTCGACGTACAAAGCCAAATTTATTAAATTTCGTTTTTTTTTTTCATAAATTTGTATATCGTAGTAGGTCACTTTTGTCTGTATAATAATGTTACTGATTGTAGTGTTTCTTATGTGTATTTTCTGTAGCAATTACGTTTATAATAATTAAGTAACATCTAAAAAATCACTTCATTCATACTTTAGTACGGTAACTCGATGCTAATCAAATTATTCTACACTAGTATTAACTATTTCACTGTCCAGTGAATCGCAAATGAACATTTCTATTGTTGACTTCACTTCAACTTCTTTAGAATCGCTCTGATTTGAAACTCGGTGAAACGAAAAAGCGTCACTAAAAGACACAAACATATACATTTATAGGATTTAGCTTGCGAGAGAATGAGATAGAATACAGTATACAATATTTCCTTTTTAATTTTTCCTTCCTTCTCTCGAAGTTTAGTTTTCTGAAGGGTTCACTTCTACCGCGTGTATACATTTTTCCGCGGGCAGGGAAGTTGATACGTGTTTAAAGAAAAGGTTTTCTGTGAAACTATGTTCATGACACTTAACATAGACAATAGAAACGTAAACATAGATAGTCAACGACATCGAAGTCGCTAAATCCGCTAGTGTGTTTCGGGCCGTATCGCGTCGGTTAGTGCGGTTGCAGTGATCACGCACGCAGCGTCCGCGACTAACTCTGCCCCGGTTGTAGTTCGCCCGCGAGCCCGCAGAGCCCGCGCTCTCCGTCGCAGCCCTACTTCAAGTTCACGGAGCCCGCGCTGCAAGCCAGCGCCCTCACTATTAAAGAACGGCTGCTGCACTGGTGTCGCGACAAGACCAGGGACTACGAGGTACACTGCACACCGCCCGCTGCACACGCCCCGCAATGATCCACTTTTAACATTCTGCTGTGTAATTTATTATTTGCAGTTGTCACTCCCTCTTTATGTGTCACTGTTAATGTGTCAAAAAAGCAACAACTTTCTCGCTCACCATGCCTCCAACCTTTCTATTTTGTAATTTATTGTACATAGTTGTCACTTTATGTCACTGTCAATGAGCGCATCCACTAGTCCACTACTTTCTGCCACCACGGCGCCACTCAGGAACAAGGTGAATTTTATTTGACAAATTTTATAGCGGGGAAAATCGATTTATGAGAAAAGTGTGGAGATTAATATTTATTTCTGAAATATTAGTTATATTAGAAATAGATAAATCAAAAAACTACGGACATTCCTAAAAATAGAAGAATTAAAAAATATATATAGCACTGCGGTAGGGTTTGGTGTATTTAAATACACTAAAACCCAAAAAATTATAAATCGCAACTTTTCAAACAGTGAAAAGTTGTAGCTGCGTAACGGATAAGTACACCTTTGTGCCTACTAGCGACATTTGGTGAGCGCAGGATTATTAGCCCTCATTGTAACATAGTACATATTTGTATTTGCAAACAAGTTGTAAAGACACTTAAGATTATTGGATATGTCTTATATAATGTACATAACTAATTGGCAATCCGACTTTTTAAGTTATATTTTAATAATGATTTGCGCTTATAAAATTAAAAAAATATTTCATTATCAATTATTTATAGATTTTGATACCTTTAAAATAATATAGTAAAAATAAATTATGTGGCATATGTACATAAGTTCGTTTTTGAAAAGAATCCGGCTAAAGGCCTCGTAGCCAGTGACATGATACCAAATTTATTATGGCGCTGGCTACGCAGCCTTTGGCCAGATTCTATAAATCATGGTTTTTAAAGAATCTGGCTAAATAAACAAACTTTAAATATTTAGTATATAACTTTAACGCTAGAACATAATCTGTCCATTGTTAAATATATTTTTTTAAAGTCGCTTCAGTCCTCACTTAAAGAGTTAGTTTCAACGGTGACATTTGCTTAATCCTGGTCCGGGGCGTGTGTAAGTAGGTACGGCAGACGCGCTGCACGCACTGTAACACTGTCAAATCACGCTACTCATAAATCTCTCGCTTATTTTATGCTTTTTATGGCTGTGCTCTCCCTGTGTATATATTGAACGTAAAATAAATATGTACTTATATTCATGCTCATTACAGGACCAAATTCTATTACTTTGGTTTCGTATAACTTATGAATTCATCAACATCTCTATTAAGTAAATTAAAAAGAGAAATGTGTTTTATTGTGAAACGCTAACACATTGATTTAAAAAAAAAACAAAAGAAATGTGTGACTGTGAAAACTAACATTAAAGTTATGATAAAATAACGTATATATATACCTACAACATGTAACAAAAACCCTGTGGTTAATTGCGTTATCAGAATCAGTATTCAAACGTATAGAAATACCTTTTCTTCAGAAAGTCGACCATTAAAAATTAAATTATTGTTTTAAATTACTAAATAAATGTTTATGTGTTAATTGTATGTTGTTTTACCTCTAACTGACACGCGCATAGGTGAATGGGGGTCTTCGACAATGTTATTACTCCCCGGCAAATACAAAGGTAAAAAAACACATACAATTTGCAAATTAAAAATTTAAACTTATTTGAAAATTTTATGATCGAATTTTGTGAAGATTTTTCTATACGTTTGAATACTGATTCTGATAATACACTTAACGGGAACCACAGGGTTTTATTACTTGTTAAATAACGGTTTTCTGTCGTATGAATAAATATGCATGAAAGTATTTTTGTTGTGTTGAACCATTGATCTATATATATGTTTCAACGAACTTTTTGTTTAATTTTAATTTTATTATTACAGTTACTTAGACAATTCAAAATGCCACAATTAATATAAATTAATTACTACATCTTTTCTACAAAATTCGTAATCTAAAATTGTTTTAAGCTGGCAATCCCTTTTATTTATGTATTCCATCAGTTTTATATCTGATCTTTTTGTTTGTGTTTCTGTATATTATAAATAAATTTATTTTTTCATATTCATTTTTATGTATTTATTCGTGTATAAAATGTTTTGCACTCAGCACACTTGTTGCAATAATTGAAAATATGTAAGAAATTCTACTACCCGTCTTACTAAAATTATAAAGACCTTTTTTTTTTCAAGTTTTAATAAATCAAGTGACGTAGTCGCGGTACTTCCATAAAACTGAAATTTCGATATTTTTCAATTAATACTCTAGTAATTGTCCCTTCCCCATTGTTGTAAGACCCGTCACATTATAAATTAACATCAAATGTATAACACTACTTATCTTACTAAAATTACGTAGATCTTTTTTTTTCAAGTTTAAATGAATAAAAAAAAACATCCATTCCATAAAACTGAAATTTTCCCGATAATTCCCAAGTAATTCTCCCTTTAACACTGTGGCTGTCTTTCTTAACATTTACCCAATAATTTAAAAATGAGCGTGTCTTAATCATGAACAAAAACATGAGGCTTAATCAATCAAATAAAACAGTCGCAGTACTTCAATAGTTACGAAATTTCGATTTTTTTTAAATAATGCTTAAGTAATGTCCCTTTCCCACTGTGGCTTTCTTTCAACGTACCCAATAATTAAGAAAAAAGCGTGCCGATGGAAACACTAAGGCGTTGCTAATGTGTGGGGTTGCGACAGAATGTGAAGCTGGAGAACTTCTCGACGAGCTGGGCGGACGGGCTGGCGTTCTGCGCGCTGGTACACCACTTCCTGCCGGACGCGTTCGACTACAGCGAGCTCTCGCCCGAAAAGCGCCGACACAACTTCACGCTCGCCTTCAAAATTGCCGAGTTAGTACACAGTACACACTCCAAAACTCATTCTTTGATTCATTACAACATCACTTCTACTTGTTCATATTCGCTGTCGCGTTTACGACTACTAGTCTGCCTCGTTGGTCTAGGGGTCGTAAACGCAACTGCTGATGAGGACTCTGGGTCGAATTCCGGGTCGGTCCAAAAATCTGAGCTTTTTCTGTCATGATATTCTCAGTAGCAGCCCGGAGTCAGAAAGTTGGCGGTTTTTCACCCCCGTGCCTCGGAAAGCACGTAAAACCGTAGGTCCTACGCCTGATCGGACTAAGAGAGTGAGGGAATAGTGAGTGCACCTGTGCTTGCACTCGGGCACTATGATCCTGTTCTGCGCCGTGTGGAGGACATTGTTATTATTATTTCTACCAGTAAAATTTCTTCTTGAAAACAAAGTAAACCTACAGGGTTATTTTGCAATAACCGGCCAACTTTGCAGAGAAAATTCAGAATAATTAATATAGGCAAATGGTGACGAAAAATTTATTTAAAAAATACTCAAACATTGTATCCTTTTCATCTTTTAAATTCAAAATGCGTGGTAATGCATTATTTTAACTGATTGAAATAAATATCTAACGCCTACTATTTTACTACGCACGCACACAGAGGAGCGCGCGTACGCGTAGTTGTTGTCCATAAATCACAATCAATTTGGGATAATTTTAAATAAAAGTAGAAGCTTTTTTACTCGTATTTTCACAAACTGTAATAACGGTATATCATTATTTATATATTTGAACATAAATTTAAAATTTGGCTACTCTTTCGAAAATAACCCTTTATTTCGGATTTTTCATTTATTAACTTTTTTTTAAAAGGCGAATATAGTGACAATTTCATTTTTTGAATTGGCCTTTTCTAAAAATGGCAAAGGCACGGTTTTGATATATTTTATAGTATAAGGGTGACAAGCAAGTGCACAGTCCACTTGATGGTAAGTGGACGCTACGGTCCACAGACATATACATCTATCATCGATTAAGAATCAAAATACAGATGCGTTGTCACCACTGAGGACAAAGATGAAATGCCTCGTTACCAGTAAAAAGAGTTTCCGGTTCTCTACACTCACCACATGAAACAGGGCAGCATTTAAATGCTATTTTACGCTGGTAATCTGTGAGAGCATGGTCCTGCCCGGATCGAGCCGACCCATTCGTATTATATATTCGTAATATAGTAACAGCATGGCTAAACCACGTAATAACTCTTAAATATATTATTAATTGTGAATGTGTAATATCATAAACGATTCAAAAATAACCGATCATAAGTTACTATTACACAAATATAACAATTGTTTAATTTGTAACGGTGTTTCAGAGAGAAGGCGGGCATCTATCCCCTATTGGACGTGGACGACATGGTCGCCATGCGGAAGCCTGACTGGAAGTGTGTCTTCACATACGTCCAGTCAATCTACCGGCGGTTCAAGGACGAGAAATAGTCCACGTCTTTACGATTTAGCTGGAATACGTGTATTTTGCACATTTGGTGTATATGAACGATTATATTAATTAATATTATTTGTGTATAGATTGAGTACATATTTTTGTTTAGGTGCAAAATAAACGTATTCCGATTTCAAAGGACCAGGGCGTTAGATATCAGTAGTTGAACGTTGGTGGTCGCAAAAATGTATTTATGTGTTGTTTCGGTATAATTAATTCGTCCAAAGAACGTTGTTGAATTTTGTTGATGTATATCAGATGTTTATGGTCAGTACCGCCCAACTCGCCGTTTCTCCAAGCGCTGTCTCGTGAACAGTCCTCCTATTTATTCTAATCTCAAGATGTATGTGATTTTTTATATAAATTAGTTTGTAAGTTTGACTAACAGATATTATTTCGAGCGATATATTAATGTACCTAGGTAATGCATAGTTCATAGTTCTTTTTTTTTTAAATGTATTTTCGCTATTGACTTCGTGAGAATATCCGAACGCACTATCTGCGAGGATCGCCTTCACTTATTTATCTACATAAGCAAGTTGTATCCTTGCCTTTATTTCAGTGTGTAATCTGCCCTGACGTTTATTGTATTTTTAACATTACTTATTTTTTTCTTTGACCATAATAACAGCGGCTTGACATAATCGCCTACTCTGATTTAAGAAACTGACTATTATTATTACTATATTTATTATTAAATATTTAATTTATACAATTAGAAATGAAATAAATATTATTAACAATTAATAGTTTTATTGTTTCATTTACGCATTTAAATTTTCTAAACCGTCTTTTCTCAAATTTCTTATAAAAACCATAGACAATAAAGCTAAGATGAAAAGTATCGTAGTTGCGATAAAATAAACAAAGATCAGTGACATTTTTAAATGGAGAATTAAAAAAGAGGTTTTTCTTATTATATGACTGTAATAAAAATTTGCGTTATAGAAGTGTTTTCTTAATTTGCCGTCTTCAAATAAACAGTTATATCATCAAGAAATCAATTAATAATAAGTGTATGAAGAAGTTATACGTGGAGAAATACCAATAGAATGTACTTCCAAATGTTAATTGATTTACATTAAACTCATAATCTTAAAATGGATATACTCGTACTTCTACAAAATTTTAATAAATATACGTCAACGGGTAGCCCTAAATTTTTGGTGAAGTGGTGGCACCTAGTATATACTATATACTACACATGGAAAAATGAAAATATCAATAATGTATTTCCAAATATTAATCGATGAAAGTACCTACATGAAATTCATAACTTTAAAATGTAATACTCCTAAAAACTTTTAATAAATATACGTCAGAGAGTAGATCTAAATTTGTGGTGGTACTGCTAGTGGCCCTATAAAAGGATCGGCAATGTTGGTGGCTTGGTCAGCGGTGGGCGGCACTTCGGCGATAGTGCGCAGCGACACCAGGCTCGGGGACGCGGCTCGCGTGGCGCTGGGAGTGGGGTGCGGGGTGGGACCGGGGGTGGGGCGCGGGGAGGCGCGCGGCGTGGCGCCGGGCGTGGCGTCCGGCAGCAGCACGCGCACGCGCAGCGTCGCGTCACGCCAGGCGCGCCAGCCCGCCTGGTGCTCCTGCACCTTCAGCAACATCCACGTCGTCAGCAGCCCGTTCAAGGCACCTATCGATCATACATACATATTTGTTTGAGAACGTAGATATTTATTTACCATGTAATGGCGGTGTAAGAATATCCACTACCTCACATCATCCCGTGGGTGTTGTAATAGGCGACAGAGGGAAACAAATCGGCTGCCAAAAATGGCAAATCTGAGGTAATCTACGGGGAGACCTATGTTCAGCAGTAGATTTATTGCTGCAACTTGTTTTTAGTAATTTAATTTGACAAACAAAAAAAAACCTTAACATTACATTAAGAAAAAAAGTGGATTGCAGCAGCAAAAAGGCTTCCAACACAGCATAATGCTAGAGTAACAGAGTTACCGCAACACTGATATTCTGTCGGAGCCAGATAAGTCGACTCGCGAGCTATCGCTCTACTTAATTTACTACCTATTTTAAAACTTATAATCACTAAAATAAAATCAATACTTCAGCAAAATTAACATTAAAATGTAAAAGTTATTTAAATTAAATATAATGTACATTAAACTATCCAACTCTATGCTACGTTCCTGTAATCTGATATTATTACTAGTCTAGAGCACAAACTGAAAGTTTATAGAAGTCAGTCTGAGCGAGATTAAAATGGCTCTCCAGCACCTTAAAAAACAAGGCCCCAGGCGAGGATGGAATTACAGCGGAGCTTCTGAAAGCGGGTGGAAAATCGGTACTTGAAGTCCTCCAGAAGTTCTTTAATTCCGTCCTCCATGGTGGCATTACACCGGAGGCGTGGAGCAGAAGTGCGGTGGTCTTTTTCTTCAAGAAAGGCGACAACACGCTCTTGAAGAACTACAAACCGATTTCCCTTCTGAGCCGCGTCTACGTGCTGTTTTTGAAAGTCATAACGAATCGTCTCGCGCGCAGACTTGACGACTTCCAGCCTCCCGAACAAGCCGGTTTCCGAAAAGGCTTTAGCACCATAGACCACATACATACCCTTCGGCAAATTGTACAGAAGTCCGAGGAGTACAATTTGCCACTATTTATGGCGTATGTGGACTATGAGAAAGCCTTTGATTCCGTCGAAATTTGAGTGGTGCTGCAGTCCCTTCAGCGGTACCAAGTTGACTGTCGGTATATCGAAGTGTTGAAGTGCTTGTACAGTAGGGCCACGATGGCTATCCGAGTACAGAACCAGAGTACGAAACCTATCCAATTGCAGAGAGATGTAAGACAGGGTGACGTCATATCCCCAAAACTCCTCACCGCTGCATTGGAAGACGTTTTCAAGCTTCTGGACTGGAAAGGATACGGTACCAACATCAATGGCGAGTACATCACTCAACTTCGATTTGCCGACGATATTATGGCAGATCGCTGGAGGACCTAAGCACTATACTCAATGACCTCAATAGTGTTTCCCAACGGATAGGTCTTAAGATGAACATGGACAAAACAAAAATCATGTTTAATGTCCATGTCACACCTGTGCCATGGACATGTGGACAAGTGGACGCTAAATGTTATAAAGCGTGTTATATAACGTGACACAAATGTTATATAACTTGAACGGCTGAACGACAAACGTCAATGTCATACGACAATGTCACATTGTTATATTGCATAGTTATTCAAATGTGTACAGTATTGTTATATGTTGCAATGTTGAAAAACAATGTACATAATTTGGACGTGTTATAAAACAAAAGTTATACAACATGTTACTTAATCTGTACGCACCCTAATACATCATCCCAAGAATCAAATACTTACTCTGTGGAGTCGGGAAACTGGTATCACTAGCTTGTGCTTGTTCCTGGTGTTTACAGTGTTGGTTTTATGCTATCAATCATATTCATCTTAGTAAAGGTTGCTAACCATACTGTTAATAACAGTATCATACTTTATTTTTCTCTTTCATACTGCTTACTGTTACTAAAACTACTTTTGTTATTGTGTTACGCATTCTGTGCTCGAGGTTCAGTAGGGAGAGGTACGCACCGATGAGGCCGATGAGCAACGAGGAGAAGACGTTAGCAGCGAGGGCAGCGAGACCGCCACGGGCAGCCCCAGCTTGCAAAGCTAAGTCACACATGCGCAGTGCTCGTGACGTGCCCAGCAAAGCCACACAGCCCAGCGCTGCGCCGCGGCTCACGTCCGCCACCAGCGCTCGAGCTGCACCCGCGCGCGCCCACGACACCACGCACCACCACCATGACCACCTGCACACCACCACACAGCTTCTACTTTAGCACTCCTCACCAACAAACAAAGATAGACAGAACATTCGGATGTTCTATGGTTGTGGAAACGTGGAACCATACGTTTTAATAGAGAATAAGGGTGATAAACGAACTGACAGTTCAATTGGTGTAAATACTGTGGCCTATACAAGTCCATATTTATCATCGATTAAAAATCAAAAGGCAGATGCGTTCTTACCCCTGAGGACTAAGATGGAATGTCTCGTTTCCGATAAAAAGGATTTCCGGTTCTCTACACTCACTATACCGAACCACTGCAGCATTTATCTGCTATTTTACGCTGGTATTCTGTAAGAGCGCGGTCCTATCCGGATTGAGCCGACCCATTCGTACTACAACTATAATTTAGCTGTAACATGGCTCTGCCACGTATAAACTATCTGTTTAAATAAATACAATCACACAGTGTTCTACACTTAATCTTTTCTACCGACTTCAAAAAAGGGGACGGTACTTAATTCGACCGTATATGTATAATGTACGGTCGAATTGAGCGACTATGGTTCCATATAAACTTGATCAAGGTCTGACCAATAGTTTTTGAGTTATTCTTAATAACCTATATTGAATTCGGTTGCAGAAAATTTTTAATTATTTAATCATAACGATAAGAATGAAGCTTGGTTGTTAAGGGGTGATCTTACGGAAGTTGTTTATTATAGAGCACATTTGAAGACGTATTCACGTTAAATGACGAAGATAGGGTTGCCAACTTTTTGTACGAGATATAAAGTATTGTAAGGTTAGAGAACTAAAATAAACACTATCTTAGAAAAATTTACAGCATTTATGAACAAGTGGTAAAATTAAAAATGTTGTACAATCGACTTCAATATAAATAAAATGAGAACATCATCAATGTATTCGAAGTGAATTAAATACACATTATTAAGGATAACTCAAAAACTACTGGTCAGATTTTGATCAAATTTGTATCGGATCACATGAGAAGTACCAGCTTTCAAATAAAAAAAAACTCTTCTTTTTCTTGAAGTTAGTTAAAAAATAAACGGAATTAATTTTAAATTTGCCAAACAATTACGCAGCCGTTTGTAAAATTAAAAACAAACCGCCGCGCAACCACGCAACCAATCACCGATCACCGTGAGGGTGACAAACGATCATATTGCGAGTCTGTCTGCTCTTAGAGAGCAGGCTTAAAGATATTTAGGAGAGGTGCGTTAGAAACATTTGTTTGTTCATTCAGCAGTGCAACATTACTGTTATTACTTTTTAATATCTGGTAACGCCAGTTAGCAATTTAATTTATAAATCTAATAGAATACTTGGTATATAGCTTTAACCCTCCCCTTCCCTTATCCTTCCTATATGCACGTATAGCCGTTGAAGGCGACGCAAGTGCCACGCAGCGGCAATTAGTTATGATCGAACAATACCCGCGACCGCACATCGCACGAAGGACATTGCGCGATGAAATCCCGCGATCCTGATAGTGGTAGATACATTGTCGGCCTACCATTTAAAGATGACGTTTATTCTCTCGGAGATTCTTACGAGACTGCTCGACGACGATTCATGTGCTTAGAAAGAAAACTTCAAGCCTCACCTATACTAAGGATGGAATATGACGACGTCATAAAGGAATATTTAGCCAAAAATTATATCTCTCCCGCACTCATGACCCCGCTCCAATCTATGTAATCCCGCATCATGGAGTCTTACGCGAAGACAAGAAGTCGACACGTTTACGTATAGTCCTGGATGCTAGCAGTAAGACTAGCACTGGTCGAGCATTAAATGATATCCTACATTCAGGGCCAAATTTGCAAGGCGATTTGTTCAATATAATTCTAAATTTCCGCCTGCATCCAGTCGCTATGACAGCCGACTGTCGCCAGCAATTCCTGCAGATAATTGTTCGCGATTCTGATCTTCGTTATCAATGCTTCCTATACCGCTTTGGTCCACATGACCCACTTGTGTTGTACCACTTCAATCGCGTATGCTTCGGTTTAACTTCGAGTCCATACCATGCATTGCGTACGGTAAGACAGCTTATCGATGACGACGGCGCAAAGTATCCACTTGCGAGTCGTATCGTGTCTACTTCGCTATATATGGACGATATCGCATTCTCTTTGCCCAGTGAATCTGAAGCCAGTGACGCCTCTCAGCAGCTGATAGGCTTATTCAAGGGTGCACAATGGGACCTAATAAAATGGAATAGCAACCGTCGACCTGTTTTAGATGACCTCCCTGCTTCTCATAACATTACAGGAGAAGTAGAGTTCGATAAATTAACGCAACATAAAATATTGGGCTGGTATTGGTCTACTGATAGTGACGCCTTTTATTTTAAGATAACTGCTCCCGCTGATGTGACGTGCACTAAGCGCTCCATCTTATCTACTGTCGCCCGTCTGTGAGACATTGGTTTCGTTGCCCCCACAGTCGCGTACGCCAAGTTGTTAATAAAACAACTTTGGCAACTTAATTTAGATAAGGACGAAATACCGCCACTGCCCATTGTTAAGATGTGGGAGCAATTCTGTGCTGAAATACCAGCTCTTAATGATTTACGTATCCCGCGACATATTGGTGTATCCAAAAACTGTATTGCCGCACTTCTGGGTTTTCCCGATGTCAGCGAGCACGCATACGGTGCCGTAGTTTACATACATGTAAAGAATGTTAACGGTAACACCGTCCAGTTGGTTTGTGTAAAGACTAAAGTCGCACCAACAAAGCCATTATCTATTGCACGCTTCGAGCTCTGTGGAGCGGTTTTACTCTCAAAGTTGCTTCGCAGAGTCCTCGAAAATTACTCTCTTGGCCTCGCAATATCGGTCTATGCCTTTGTAGATTCAAAGGTAGCTCTGTAATGGATAAAGAGTTCACCACACAAGTGGCAGACATTTGTTGCAAACCGCGTTGTTCAGATCACCGACAATATTCCCCCTGACAACTTTTATCACGTAGCAGGCACTGAGAATCCCGCTGACATACTTTCACGTGGCGTTACGCCAAATAAATTAGTTTCAAATCCTCTGTGGCTCCGTGGCCTCAGTGGACCTCACTAGATCTATATCAGTGGCCTCTTCATACTTTAGACAATCAGGATATTGCAGACATGCCTGAGAAAAGGATTTTGTCGCACACTGTGTGCACATCCGTCTGTAATTCTGTAATTTATGAGCTAGCGCTCCGCATCTCTTCATGGAGTAAACTTCTACGTATACTTGCGTATGTGTGTAAGTTTGCTAAATTATTACCCCGCCGCAGCACTACTGTAGTGACTGCTGGTGATCTCAGTTTCTCTGAGGTCATAATGCTCCGCGCCCTGCAAAAGTAACACATTGCAGCAGAATATTTAAATATTAAAGGTAACAAACCTTGCTCACCCGCTTTCAATCGTTTAAGGCCTTTAATTGACAACGGTTTGATCCGCGTAGGCGGTCGCCTTTCTAACTCCGCACTAGATTACACTCAAAAACATCCAATTGTACTTCCGCGCAGTGATCATGTAGTGAACATGATCATTGATTATTATCATATTAAACATATACACGCCGGGCCTGAGTTGTTATTGTCATTACTCCGTTACAAGTTTTGGATTCTTTCCGCACGCCGCACTGTGAGACATAGAGTCCACAAGTGTAATATATGTTTCCGGCTTAGACCCCGTCCAACTTACCCTTTGATGGCTGATCTTCCCCAAAGTCGTACACGACAGGTTATTAAGGCATTTACAAGGCTGCGATTATGCCGGTCCTATCGCCTACACTCCTGTACGTCGTCGTGGTATACGCAGCGAGAAGGCGTATTTATGTATTTTCACATGCCTCACAACTCGAGCTGTACATATAGAAATCGCTACTGATCTTAGTACTTCCAGTTTCCTAGCCGCGCTGAAACGTTTCCTCTCTAGACGAGGGCCGATTCAGTTTTTGTATTCGGATAACGGAACGAATTTTAAAGGTGCCGCTTCGTACCTTCGCGATCTCTATAAATTTTTAAACGTTGAATATCGCCCACAGCTCGAGCAGGAGTGCGCTGAAAGTCGCATTACATGGAAGTTCATCTGTCCCAACTCCCCTCATTTTGGAGGCGCATGGGAAAGTATGGTCAAGGTCGTGAAAGCACATCTGTTCCGAGTTATCGGTCATCAGTTACTTTCATACGAAGAACTTAATACTATTCTTTCGCAAATTGAATGCCTGCTGAACTCGCGGCCCTTGACAGTATTAAGTTCTGATCCCGCGGAACCCTCGGCCCTAACCCCTAACACCGAGTAATTTTCTGAATACCGCGCCTTTATTGTCATTACCTGCGGCTGAAGTCAAATCTGACAGTCTGTTATACAGACATTCTCTACTGGATAAATTAGTCCAGTCGTTTTGGGATCGGTGGAGGATGGAATACCTTCACGGATTACAAGTTCGTCAGAAGTGGAACACTCCGTCTACGCCTATCGCACCAGGTACGGTTGTAGTTGTGATTAACGATAACGCACCGCCCCTTGCTTGGCCATTAGCTATTGTTGAGTCTGTTCATCCTTCGAAAGATAGTGTAGTTCGAGTAGCAACCGTGAGAACTTCTAAGGAAACTTACCTCCGTCCGGTTGTTCGTATTTGTCCTCTCCCAAAACAATAAACCACGAGTATCTTAATTATAATTACTTATTTAAATTAGCAATTATTTTTATATATCATATTATAAAATTTAAACCGCCATATTGAATCTATGTACACATTTTCTCACTTGCCAATCAAGCTTACTAAATCAAATATTAAGCGCATTGAGCGCACTCTCTCACTCTACATACCGCTTTATTTGCTTACTATATATACTCACCCTACATACCGCAAAACTATTTGTTTTCCCTTTCTTTTCCTTATCTTACGGTTGTCCTTTAAAGGTGACCCTTTAAGGGCGGGAGGAAATGGTAACGCCAGTTAACAATTTAATTTATAAATCTAATAGAATACTTGGTACATAGCTTTAACCCTCCCCTTCCCTTATCCTTCCTATATGCACGTATAGCCGTTGAAGGCGACGCAAGTGCCACGCAGCGGCAATTAGTTATGATCGAACAATACCCGCGACCGCACACCGCACGAAGGACATTGCGTCTTTCGGTCTCCTCTTTAATATCAATTATCACCGGACATTGTGTCCTAGTAATTTAGCGAATGTGATGCGCCATCCGCGATTACAATAAGTCGAGAGTTTAGGAGTGTGTGAAATCCTAGAACTAATCCAAGAGTGCGTGCGCCGACCCACGCGGCGGACCTGCTGTGTTAGCTGATTCTCCGGGAGGAAGGCGAGGCAGTCCCTCACAAGGTTAGTGCGTGCATTACACTCTCATCCACTTTCGTTGCTCCGCTTGTTGCATGTACCAATACAGTCCACAAATCTTTATCGAAGAACTCATGTTACTGGCGCGTCCAATATCTCTAACTGTTCCAGCACACATAGTCGCAGCCCTTTATTACACGTATGTAAGACTTTAAAGAAGTGGTCGTTGGCTAAGTTGTGTCCAGTGTCCAAAAGATGTTTGGCAAAATGAGATTTATCGGGATTGCAATTCCTGTACGCGGCTAAATGCTCTTTATAATGTGTTTCGAAGTTGCGACCAGTTTGACCCACATAAATGGCGGGGCATTCGTCACAAACAAGTTTGTAAACACCTGACTTTTGACGAATATCCAACTTATCTTTATTATTACAGATATTTCTAAGGAAATTGTTTGTTTTGAACGCCACATAAACGCCGTTTTGTCGAAGAGTCTTAGCTACTTTTTCAGATATGGGGCCTAAGTAGGTCAAACTGCTCACATATCGATGAACACTTTGAGGTTGAACCGCGTACAGAGAGTTGCGAACAACATGGTTTTGTTTCTTTTTAATTAAATTGTTAATGAGATTTTTTGAAAAACCGCTATTTGATAAATTATATTAAGATCTTTTAAATAATTTTCTTTACTTAATGGGACAGTGAACAAACGGTTAATGTAACAATAAAAAGCGGCTACTTTATGTTGCCACGGATGACACGATGACGCGGGGATGACCGTGTCGGTATGAGTTGGCTTTCGATAAATGTGGAAAACATGTGACGTAATTATTTTTGTTTTTTACTTTTAAAAGCATATATTTTTAGAACTTCTTCCATCAATTTTTTTACGTGGTAGATAGAGCCATGCTGCAGCTATATTACTAGTATAGTTGTAGCACGAATGGGTCGGCTCGACCGTCGAAGAACCATGCTCTCACAGAATATCAGCGTCAAATGGCAGTTTAAAGCTGCTGTGCTTGCAGCTATGTTGAGTGCAGAGAACCGGAGACCCTTTTTACTGGATATGAGGCATTCCATCTTAGTCCTCACGGGTTACAACGCATCTGCATTTTGATTTGTAATAGAGAATAGATGTAGATGTCTATAGGCCGCAGCAACCACTTACCATCAGGTGGTCTGAGTGCTCGTTTGTCACCCTTATCCTATAAAAAAACTTAAAGTTTTATTACCATTTTTAATATAATATTCGTAAGCGTCTTCCCAATTTTACTAAAAAATTAAAATAAATAAGGAACGCATATTTTATTAAATTAATAGAAGCTCTATTTCAGGTCTTGTGGCTCCGGACACCTGCGATGATAATAAAACACTATATTGTATATTTTTATTTTAAAAGAACAGTAAACAGTATTTAAGAGAGAAATTAAAAACAATGTCCTCCAGACCGACCGACCTTGGACATGTCAGCCAGTCTCAATGGAGACTAGCCATCTGCACAGGACAGGACTATAGTCCCCGAGAGTATGCAAGCACAGATGCACTCTCTATTTCACGTAATTTGACGCGACCGGAGAGAGACCAGGTCAGGCGTAGAGCCAACGGCTTTACGTGCTTTCCAGGGCACGGGATAAAACACCGCCAACTTCCCGACTTCAGGCTGGTACTGAGCGTTTCTTGCCAGAAAACCTAATAACTGATTTCGGTCCGACCCAGGATTTTAAGTTTAAAACCCGCGAACTCGTGATCAGTAACTGCGTTTACGACCACCAGATCAACGAGGCAGTCAAATCAAAGTATTGACAGTATGGAATTTTTTTATAAAACTGGCTTTACGGCTCTGGGTTCTAGGCCTTCTGAGCCTTTAACAGTATGGTTGGCAACCCTAGACAAAGATGAAGATGATCGATAGCGCAAAACAAACTTGTGGGTCCTGGTGACGAGGTAGTGGTGGCGGCAGAGCTCGCAGTGCGATGTGGCCGCTTGCAGCAGCCAGCGCTCCAGGCAGGAGCGGTGCACGGCGGCCACAGTGCCTCGGCAGCCGCACGGCCGCGCCAACCTCTCCCGAGATGCGCCGCCGAAACAAATGCGGCATATGCTGGCCGACTGCCAGCTTCTGCTCACCTCGCACGCCTCCTTCGTTACACCCGACGACCCCTAATTTGTAATTTATATAAATGAGAGAGCAAACGAGCATGCGGCTTACCTAATTAGTAGGAGAGTAACGCCGCTTTAACTGCAACAACTAAAGGGGGTACAACCATGCGGCAGCTTTATGTTATAGTTGCAGCACGAATGGGTCGGCTTGACCGGGGAAGGACCACGCTGTCACAAAACATCAGCGAGAAATAGCAGCTCAATGCTGTGAGTGTTTCTTTACACCGGAGACCCCTTTTACTAAAATCCGAGGCATTCCATATTAGTCATCAGGGGTGACAACGCATCTGCATTTTGATTCTTAATCGAGGATAAATGTAGATGTCTATGGGCCACGGCATCCACTTACCATCAGGTGGACTGTGTGCTAACGTCTACGTATAGGAGTGACAACCCCTATACGTAAACGTTGTATGTGAGATAGATGAGATCCTTAACACTTGCCTTTATCTAAACAAAACTTAGAAACCACGTGCTCGATGGCGAAAGGAAACATCGTAAGGAACCGACACGTCTAACAAAATTATAAAATATTTCAAAATCCTGTGAAGTCACTTCCTTGCCCTGAAAACTTTCTCAAAAATGCGAGAAGGCGTATTCCCAGCTGTGGGATACATATGGATTGTAATTTTTACTTATATAAAGAAACAACTCCACACCTGTTGCAGTGAACATCTTGACGTTCAAAATCAAGAATCCATTTCATAATGTATAGCAGTAGATTCATCTGGCCATTCGTGCCTGACTCGAAGGCTTCCAACCTCCCGAACAAGCCGGTCTCCGAAAAGGTAAGTAGTAGTACCATAGACCGCTTACAAACCCTAATTGTACATAAGACCGTAGAGTACAATCTACCACTTTGCTTTGCGTATGTGGGCTATGAGAAAGCCCTTACTTCCGTCGCAATCCGGGCAGTGCTTTCGTTCCTTCAGCGGTGCCAAGTTGATTGTCGGTATATCGAAGTGCTGAACTGTTTGTACAGAAGGACTACAATGGTTATCCGAATACAGAACCAGAGTACGAAAAGTCATCCCACTGCACAGAGGTGTAAGAGAGGGTGATGTTATATCCCCGAAATTCTTCACCGCTGCATTTGAAGTGATTTTCAAGCTACTGGACTGGAAAGCATACGGTATTAACATCAATGGCGAGTACATCACTCAACTTCGATTTGCTGACGATATAGTCCTTATGACAGAATCGCTGAAGGACCTAAGGACTGCTCAATGACTTCAATAGTGTCTCCCAACGGATAGGTTTTAAGATGAACATGGACAAAACAAAGGACATTTGTAACGTCCATGTTACACCTATGGCGGTAGTTGTTAGGAGCACTATGCTCGAAGTTGTCGACTAGTATGGACCTGGGACAAAAGTCCGACTAGGTTAGCACAACTTTGACCGAGAGGTCAATCGATGGATTCAACTCGGCTGTGCAGCGTTCGGGAGATTACACTCACATCTTCAAGTCAGGTAGGTATATCTCAAAACCTGAAAACAAGATTGTACAACAAGTGCGTGCTGCCAGTGATAATTTATGGATCAGAGACGTGGTCCTTCACTGCTGGCCGTATGAGGAAGATCAAAGTCACTCAGCGAGTTATGGAGAGGGCTATGCTTCCGGTTACTCCGCAGAATAAACTAAGACATGAGGATATATAAAGTAGAACCACAGTAACCGAAAATACCCAATGGATTAGTAAGCTGAAGTGGCAGTGGAACCAGCCATATAGCTCAAAGAACCGATAACCGATGGGGAAGAAAGGTTCTCAAGTGGCTGCCTCGTACCGGTAGACGAAGTGTAGGGTGGCCCTCCACTAGAAGGAGTGATGACCTGGTAAGACATACAGGAAGTCGATGGATGTAGGTTGCTCAGGACCGAGCTTTGTGGCATTCCTTGGGGAGGTCTATTATGGTTCAGTAGTGGACATGTGAAAGGCTGTAATTAATAAATGAATAAACTGGCGCTTGCGGTGGCATATAAAAGAAAAAAATAAAGACCTGTTTCCTGAGTAGAAGCGCACAGACTGATCCCAAGATGGAGACGGAGCGGCCAGCTGGCTGCAGGGGCGGCGATGCTGCTGACGAGAAAGTCAGTGAATCCGCAATGCGCTCGCGCAATGCTCGCTGTTCATCGACTTCTGCCACCAGCACTGCAATTGCTTCTCATTTTAGTTAATCTTAAGGCTCTCAATCCAAAAATAATTCATTATATCATCAATTGTGCTCAAATCATAAAATTTAGTTTGCAACTTCAATATTGCGCCTAACGATTTACCACACCTGAATAGGGCTTATACTCTCATACTGATCATGTGAAAAAGATTAAATGACTGCCACTTTGGTCTAGTAGTTGTAAAAGCGACTAATAATCTTGAGGTCCCAGATTCAGAATTTCGGATCGGATCAAAATCATATATTGAATTTTACTAACAAAAAACTCTCAGTGGCAGCTCGGGATCACAAAGTTAGTGGAGTTTCACCCCCGTGCCTCGGAAAGCACATAAAGCTGTGGGTCCTGCGCCTGATCTATCTCCGATTGTGTTAGATTATATAAGAATATGAGAGTGCACCTGTGCTTTCGCACACACACGGGCATTATAATCCTGCCCTGCGCAGATGGCTAGTCTCCGTTGGGACTAGCCGTCGTGGCTGAAATTCGGTCTGGAGGACATTACTAATAATATGTAAAATTTGTATTCGCTATACATCGAATAAACACCATTTTTCGGACGCCGGAGCCTCGGTAGTTTGCAGGATGCATCACGAGGTAGCGGCATTTAGAAAAGTTTTTACATCTCCTTCTCACTTAAATTGGTGTCATTTTTAATACTAAAATAAAAACCTGGTGATGAAAAACCGGAAAACTGACAACTGATGTCGGTTTGTTGACCCGTTGACCGGAGTTCTATCTGACTGACATGTGATTCTGACTGAAAGGAAGAAGTAATTATATTATGTAATACATAAATTAAGGTCTATCTGCACTATTTTTTTTATTTAATTAATAACGATATATTACTAAGTTTGATATGGATACGTACTGACATATAGAGCGAAGCATTGCTTGCAGAAGACATAATTGTTATTCTGCTATCGGAGCTGCCGTTACCCCAGAAAATTAGGCGGGTTTGTCCTTCGCCGACATTACACTCCTGGTGACAGAATATACGGCATATTTATAAAAAAAATCGAGCGATGAATAAGCTAGTACTATTGTATCTTTAGCAACAAAAGCCTACTACTTTTTATGTTCAAACTAATTATTTAGTAAAAATGCTTATGTGTCAGGCACAAACACAATTGTAGCTGTAAGTTGCAATTGTAAGCGTTGGTTTTACACGTGCTTTCGATGTGGAGCATTCTAGATCATAATTAATATTATATTATAGATATTTGAGATCCGACATAATAACCCTCTTAGAAAGGAGATGAGGCATGTGCTTAGTCATGGTACGTATGTAGTTTGTTATTTTTTACACTTCACATAATACCCTAATTAAACTGCTACAACTGGATCTTCTATGGAACTGAAAATTAATATTTTGCAGAGCTTGCTGAACAGTTGGTTTATATGCTGGTGGAGCTAGAATTGCACATCTCAAATTTTGTATAATATCCTTTGAAAACGTTAAAGTGTCGTCACTTTCGATAAATTGATTTAAAATAACAACTTTTTTCATTTTTCTGTGGGAAGGTCATTGTGTAGAATGATCGATATTATACATTAAATTTAAAAAACTTCAAATACTCTAAAAATTTAGATGACGTCCATACATTGTGATTATTTATAAATTTATTTGACAGGATTGTCATTGGCATTAAAGGCAATCTCCTATTTCGGATGACATACTTGAAGTTGCTCTAATTATTGTCAATTAATAATATTTATTAAGTCTATTCAAAATATCAAAATTTGGTCAAAATTTATGCATAAATGCTTGATTTAAATTCGTAATTTTTTAATTTTATATTAGACACAGTGCGAAAAGAGAAGCACTAGTTTCATCATAATGTTGGTTTTATATGACATGAAATATTTAACAGATTTCATAACGGGGAAGATAATTTCTCAGGAAAATGTAACGGTTAATGTTTGTTTCTGTATTTTTAGTTACATTTTATATTAATTATATTAGAAAAGAATAAACCAAACTATAAATTTAACTAAAAGTAGTAAAATTAAAAAAAGAGTTAAAAGGACAAAAAATTAAACATCAAACTACTGAGGCATTGTTTTGTGTATTAATATAATGCTCAAGAAACTGATAAACTATAAGTTAAAACCAATTTCCCAATTAACTGACAGTGTTATAAAAACCTTTACGGCAATCACAAGTGCGCTAAGATATTTATGATATAAAATCTAATTGATGAAATTTGATCCCCAAAATAACGCAACACTAATTAACCACTGGTTGATTATTGTTCCCGTATTATTATATAAATAATTATTTGAAGTGGATTTTAATACGTGAAAGTAGTGCGATTAAAATATCCGCACATGTGGGAACAACGAAACAAGTATTCCAATCACTTAGGAATCTTGAGAAACCGTCATCCTCTGTCCGTTTGGAGCTGCCGACAAAATCTTACCAAAACTATGCAACGTAACGTATTAGAATAATTTTGAAAAGAAAATACACCAGACAAGGCTGTACGGACATACACCCCTTTGCCTATAATAATTAAAACTGGCAAAGACAAAGATATTGTTTGACAATGACAACTAATTTGTTAAAGTGACGTCTGACATATAAAACGTCTGGCGGCTGTGGTGTATTTAGGTATAAAAAGTTAGGCCTCCTCCACGTGAAGATAAAGATACCTTGTGTAATTCTTCAATAGTTAGCAATATCCGCTAAGAAACAAAATAAACATGGCAGTTCGTGTTCAATTTGAAAATAATAATGAAGTGGGAGTCTTCAGTAAATTAACAAATTCGTATTGTATGGTTGCTATCGGCGGCTCAGAAAATTTCTACAGCGTGTTTGAAGCAGAATTGGCGGAAGCTATTCCTGTTGTGCATGTGAGTATTGCCGGATGCCGCATCATTGGACGTATGACTGTTGCCAACAAAAACGGTTTGCTAGTGCCATCCTCCACCACAGACACAGAATTACAACACATTCGCAACAGCTTACCAGATAACGTTAAAGTGCAGCGAGTCGAGGAAAGACTCAGCGCCCTCGGCAACGTCATAGCATGTAACGATTATGTAGCATTAGTACACCCAGATCTTGACCGTGACACTGAAGAAATTCTAGCCGACACACTCAATGTGGAAGTATTTAGACAAACCGTCGCCGGAAACGTCCTTGTCGGCTCATACATAGCACTCACTAACCGAGGAGGTCTAGTTCACCCGAAAACCACAATACAAGACCAGGACGAGTTGTCTTCCTTACTACAAGTACCCCTTGTAGCTGGCACTGTAAACAGAGGCAGTGAAGTTGTGGCTGCGGGAATGGTAGTCAATGACTGGAGTGCCTTCTGTGGTATGGACACCACCTCAACAGAAATATCAGTAATTGAAAGTGTTTTCAAGCTGAATGACGCTAAACCTACTGCTATCACATCAACAATGCGTGCTTCACTTATCGACAGTATGTCATAACAATGGACCGTTGCTCTCTCTAGTGGGCTATGTTGCATAAAATGTTTATGTGATATTTTGTTTGATAAGCACCTTAATAAATATTCTAACATTTCTGTTGATCAGGTAAATCTCGGACCTGTGTTTGTATACATAAGTAAACAAATGTAAATTTAATTTGTTTTTTATTTTTTTAATCAGTAAATAACTGTAAATAGTGTTTATTACACTGTTTAATAATATTGTGCAATATTTACATTTTGCAAAGTTATGCAATAAATTACATACTCATCATACTTATACAAGCAATTTTGTTTAACTTTCATTCTCTGAATAATAATTATTACTTAATATCAAATAGTATTTTATATATTTAGAAAAGTTAGATACCTTCACCTTTTATATGTGGTAGAGCCATGCTGCAGCTATATTAATTGTGTAGTTGTAGCACGAATGGGTCGGCTTGACCGGGGAAGGACCATGCTCTCACAGAATATCAGCGTAAAATAGCAGCTGAACACTACTGTTTCATATGGTGAGTGTAGAGAACCAGAGACCATTTTTACTGGAAAAGAGGCTTCCATCTTAGTCCTCACGGGTGACAACCCATCTGCATTTTGATGCTTTATTGAGGATAGATGTAGATGTCTATGGGTCACAGCAACCACTTACAATCAGGTGGACTGTGCGCTCGTTTGTCACCCTATCCTATAAAAAAAACTACTACATGCTACATTATATTTACAACATTAGTTTTCTTTAAATTTTGACATACAATAAAGAGTTTTTTTTTTGATTGATCTGTCTATTTTCAATTTCCAAAGATTTAATTTATAGAGCTTTCATTTGCAAACCCATTATGTAGATAGAATCTGAATTTTGACAAGATGAATATGGTGTGAAATGTGCCTCATTTGACACAATATCATGTGTAACCACCCCAATTTTACTGCAAAAATTTGTTTAAATTCTATCAAGAGAAGCTATAATTTAAAAGAAGAAATTTGTTTAAATAAAAGTTATTGCACATTATAGTGCTCTATTGTTACCAAATCAAAAAATCACAATCCACTCAAGTTAAATCACTTTCCACCAGCTTTATATTTATTTATTTTTTTATATTGCACTTATAATAAAAAAAGTACAGCAAGAAGAGATTTATACTTCTGGCATAGTTATAAGATTACTTATTTTGATTATTATTAATTAATTATTTGATAATTAATTAATTAAAAAAAGTTAATTGATAATGATTTCACTTGGGTCAGTGGTATGGATGTGAACAAGATATCGTTCGAAAAACTGAACTTATCACTTTGATTTTTATTTTAATTTTAACCCTAAAGGTACAATTCCGTAGCTGACCGCAGACAGCAACAGTAGGCGACGTCGACTCATGTCATGACTGCAGCGACGACACGTCGCTGCAGTCATGATTCCGAACCCGACTGCTCGGGCGTTGGCGACACTACTGTTCTGTGGTCGGGCGACATGTCGTCTGCCACTCCGGCAAACGACGTGTCGCTAGCTACGGAAGGTATTTCATAGAACTACATAGAAAGCAGTAGTGTCGCGACGACACGTCGCCTGCTGCTGCTGTCTGCGGTCGGCTACGGAATGGTACCTTTAGGGAGCCTTTTGAATTTCACATTTTCTTCGGTAACATAATACGATTTACCGATATCAAGCAGTCAGAAAGACAATTTCAAGTTAATTAAACAGAAACAATTATTTTGTAGCTTTAAACAAAATGAGGTGTTTCGGTAATTAAAAAAAGTAAATTGATTATTCAATTTACTTTTTAATTACCTACATGAGCGTTCGAGGTGCGCACTTTTGGATTTTCCAAATTATTTGAGTCAAATTTTACTTATCCTTGTGTCTCTGGCACTACCTTCTAATACATCTCATTACACTATCAGGCTTAGCCAAGTTGAATTTCTTTAACTGTTGAATGATATGTCTCGATGTTAAGCTACGTGATATTACATTGATAGTTCTTTTTCTGGGGGCGGGGTAGTGCCCCCGCCAAGCCGTGCCATCCTTTTCTCGAAGCAGTTTAGGCCATTTTTGAAACCCTATAACTTCGTTGTGGATAGAACTAGAAGCCTGAATTTTCAGTAACCAAGTAGGCATTGTATAAACTCGGTATATTTCAAACTTCATTAAATTTGAATTAGTAGTTTAAGAATTATAACTAGTCAAAGTTTCTTAATTATGTCACTCACTCACTGATCGATCATCAAAACTCTAAGGCACTTCTAGCAGACATAGAAGCTTCAAATTTAGAATACAATTATTGTTTAGTATATAAATCAAGGAAAAACTAAAATATTTTGCAATTTCGGTCCAGTTTTCGAGATACACCAGCTGCATAAATAACTTTGTAATCCCATATAAATATATAGAATTACAAAGTTACATTTGCAGTGAATGAATCAGTACCTATATTTTTTTTTTTTATATGTATAATATAATGGAATAATAGGTGTAGATAGGTACCTAGATATAACTATCTACAAAAAGAAATGAGATGCCATCAAAAACATAACTTCTCTCGTCTCACAACTCAGTTCTACCGTAAAAAGTTGTGAGATCCATGTAATACCAAGTCGGTTATCTTATTTCATTTAGTCCCTACTTAAGGGTCCTTCTGTCTTAAGTTATTATGTAATTAGCTAACCTAACAACATCTTATAGTGACCATATCAATATTAAAATTCTTTTAATTTTAAATAAATAAATTGACTTGGCAATCGCACTAAACAATCTAATTTAATATAATATGTATTACTTGAGAGATACATTGTGTTTTCATGCGATGGCCAAGTCAATCTATTTATTTAAAAGGAAAGGACCACGCTCTCACAGAATACCAGCGTAAAATGGCAGCTTGACACTGCTGTATTTCGTATGGTGAGTGTAGAGAACCGGAGACACATTTTACTTTAAAAGAGGAATTCCATTTTAGTCGACGCATCTGCATTTTGATTCTTTATTGAGGATAAATGTAGATGTCTATGGGTCACAGCAACCACTTACCATCAGGTGGACTGTGCTTGTTTGTCACCCCATTCTATAAAAAAA